TGGGACTGTAGCTTGTGCTCGTTTTTGTTGCTCTTACCTACCCCTCTTTGGTCTTTCCATAACCTTGAACCTTCCGAGTTGGAAGGCTGTCGGTTAGCGCTACAGAGATGTGTTGAAGCTAGGTGGCAGGACGTCGAATGTCTCAGTACTTTGTCAGCTTTGTGCCTAGTTGTTGCACTTTCTGACTGTATATAGTATCTGGTTACAGTGATGGAGAATTACTCTTAACTCGTATCCATATGTCCTCTTCCTTTCTACAATTATTATTTAACTCGGAAGGTGAGCCAATTAAATTATTGTGAAAAGAAGAGGGACAACATGTTACGAGTTATGACTAACTGTCCACCACAGGGGCGTACGCAGGATCCGGAATGAGGGGGGTGCTCCAACATTTCCCCAAAGAACCGAATAATGCACTATTTGTGTTCGTTTGATACATGGATGGTTGATATGTTTATGTTTACTTTTACTGTGCCATTTAACCGTGATTCAAGCATTTACCATGATTTACCAAGTCCAGGGAAAATGTTGGAACTTTTCTGTAGAATGGAGCAACAATGAGGCCTTGAAGTACCCAATCCCAAATATACCCCTCCATATATTTGGAGGACAAAATGTACTTCCTCGGTAAGCTGTGTCAAGAGTACACTACTCTTGCTAGATCATAATTATCACGAAACCATTTTCAATTTGACTAATGTACTTCGAAGTACTAGAAAAACTTACAATACTTCACACATTGAATGGGGCGAGAAGGCAAAAGTACCATAACAACTTCTGGCAGGAGGCACAGAAAAAGCTCCCAGGAGTTTTTATACACTTGCTTCTGGTATGGAGAAATAGAACCATGTAATAGACGAAGCAAGTGCAATGGATGGTGGTAGCTTCACAAACCGGATACTAGCAGAGGGCTGCCACATTTCTGTTAGTAGAAATCAGAAGCAGTGTCTGAGGTGTTCAATGTCAGGATGGCAAGGGGGCAGCTACCGCTTTAGAAGCCATAGCATGTTTAGGATTTCAAGGGCCTGAAACAACAGATTAGCACACTTTCGTGAGAAATCGTTTTCAGTCGGTTTGTCGGAACAACTGATCGGAGTGTTCCCGGAAAATCGGAATAGAATAAGTTGAGGCCCCTGACAATATGGATAACCCTCTCACGGTCCTGCCACATGACAGTACATGTAACATGGTGAGCTATGATCAACTTGTGACGACAGCGAGTGGAAAGCAAAACATCCGTTAGAAAAATCTGATTATTGTGCCACGAAAAATCACGTTCAAAAGTGTCTGATTTATGAACATGCCCATTTCACAATGAAGTTTACTAATATCAAATTCAATCACATCTCAATGTATAGCCTCACTCAAGACCTTTCCAATGGGCCGTCATTTGCGTGAATCGGACAATCGGTTGTAAAGTTATGGTAGTTTTAGCGGCATGGGTACAGCAAGTTGACCTACCTCATGCTACATGTACATGTATGTGGAACATTTTGAGGGGGGTGCTTAAAGGGGAAGTTAAGGCAAAAATTAAAATTTCACCACTTGTAGTCTTCGGGGTGCTGAGTCGAATGGTCTTGGTCCGAGGAAGCTGAGACGCTCAGTCCTACTTGAATCCCAATCGAACTCGCGCACTTCCACCGAAACTGGGTGACTGCGCCCTACTAGATGGGGATTTGTATGCAAAATGTCACTAAAAGCGCCATTTCGTTCTTATAAAAGCACGGACGACCGCGATTGGCCCATATGTTGTAGTCTTTTGGACGCTGAGTCGACTGGTTTTGGTCCGAAAAGGCTGCGATGCAGCGTTCCTCCTCTATTCCCAATCGAACATGGTTGAACAAGTGGTCACGTGCTCCTGGGTGCCCAAATCACCTGGTCACCACGCCAGCAGGCGACAATTATACTTCAGAATGCTCTGTCTCCATATCAATGTGTTTGGCCTAGTTTCCTAACTCTTGATAGCTTTTTTGTAGTGAAAATTCATGAATTTTGTGATTTTTTTTGAATCCTTGGTGTTAACGCATGCGTGGAACACCAGGTTTCGTTGATAAAAGCCCTTGTTCCCTCTATGTTCTTGGCCCTTTTTTCTAGCTCGCTCGAAGTGAGTTTCTTGGCAAGCTGTTCGATCTCGTTATCGACTGTTGTCTTGTACAGTACTTCCTCTTGGTTGTATTTCTAACTTGGTGTGTCTCTGTGCTTACTGTAGACCGCTTTTCAATCAGCAAACTGTCAAGTCCACTCTCAAGGATGGAATCGTCTGCAAGCTCCCTTACCTCTCCCGATGCTGCTGGTCAGTCATCGAGGATCATGGCGGACATGATGAGCCAGTTTGGAAAGGTCTAGCAGGTGATGGAGCAAATCGGCTCAGACGTTTCAAGTATTGCGGAACCAGTGTCTGCTCTGGAAGCGGCTCAATCCCACCCTGACCCCGCACGAAGTGCCTCTATTTCGTTTTCCACTCTGGCGCCAAACGCTAATTCAACACCGGGTAAAACCC